TAATCTGGTGGTGGGGTTTAATTATACGATGTTTACAGTTAGGTAAATGGATTAACAGTCAGGTAAATGGATTAATACTTGAATATAATCAAAGTGATATGTAAGTTTATGTTTAACTGCTATGTCTCCTGTGAAATGTAAAACCAATCATGTAACCTTGCTTGGAAAAATAGTATAAAAGATGCGTTCAAAATGTGGGTCTTTGGGTACCTGTCTTGGGACAGGAGTCCACAGGGACCCCGGGCCCTGAATAAAGCACCGCATAAACTGACACTCTGTGAGTTTGTGTTCTCATTACGGGCAGCAGGGGGAACTGGGAGGGACTGAGAGGGACTGGAAGGGCACTGGGAGGGCACTGGGATGGTACTGGGAGCACTGGAAGGGCACTGGGGGCACTGGGAGGGACTGGGAGGGCACTGGGGGGAACTGGGATGATACTGGGAGGGACTGGGAGAGATGGGGAGGGACTGGGAAGGACTGGAAAGGCACTGGGAATGACTGGGAGGAACTGGAAGGGCACTGGGGGGCACTGGGAGCACTGGGAGAGACTGGGAGAGACCAGGAGGGCACTGGGAGGACTGGGGTTACTGAGACAGACTGGGAGGGCATTGGGAGGGACTGGGGAGAGCTGGGGGGAACTGGGATGACACAGGGAGGGACTGGGATGGACTGGGACGGCACTGGGAGAGACTGGGGGGAACTGGGAGGGACTGGGAGGGGACTGGGAGCACTGGGAACAACTGGGAGCACTGGGAGGTACTGGGAGGGCACTGGGAGGGGACTAAGGGCACTGGGGGCACTGGAAGGGACTAGGAGAGACTGGGAGGGCACTGGGAAAGACTGGGGGGAACTGGGAGGGACTGGGAGGGTACTGGGAGCACTGGAAGGGCACTGAGGGCTCTGGGAGCACTGGAAGGGCACTGGGAGCACTGGGTGGGACTGCGGGAACTGGGAGGGACTGGGGGAGACTGGGAGATACTGGGAGGGCACTGGGAGGGACTGGAGCACTGGGGGGACTGGGAGGGACTGAGAGGGCACTGGGAGGCACTGGGGATAACTGGGGGGAACTGGGACGATACTGGGAGGCACTGGGGGCTCTGGGAGGGACTGGGAGCAGTGGGAGGGCACTGGGATGGTACTGGGAAGGACTGGGAACACTGGGAGGACTGAAACGTGGGCTGGGTCTCTTAAAAAGGCAATGGGGCTCTTAAAAGGGCAATGGGTCCCTTAAAAGGGCAATGGGGCTCTTAAAAGGGCAATGGGGCTCTTAAAAGGGGTTTGGGGGTCCCAAGGGAGTTTAGGGGGTCACAGGGGGGACTGGGGGCACTGGGAGGGCCTGGGAGGGACTGGGGAGCACTGGGAGAGATTGGGATGGCACTGGGAGGGACTGGGAGAGATTGGAGGGCCACTGGAAGGCACTGAGAGGGCATTGAGGGGGACTGGGAGGGCACTGAGAGTACTGGGACTACTGGGAGCACTGGGAGTACTTGGAGGGACTGGGAGGCACTGGAGGGAACTGGGAGAGACTGGGAGGGACTGGGAGAGATGGGAAGGGACTGGGATGAACTGGGGGGAACTGGGATGATACTGGGTGGGACTGGGAGGAACTGGGAGGGACTGGGAGAGACTGGGGGGACTGGGATGGTACTGGAAGGACTGGGAGGGACTGGGAGAGACTGGGGGGAACTGGGAGAGCACTGGGAGGGCACTGGGAAGGACTGGGAGGGCACTGAGGGCACTGGGAGCACTGGGAACAACTGGGAGCACTGGGAGGGCACTGAGGGCACTGGGAGCACTGGGAACAACTGGGAGCACTGGGTGGGACTGGGGGGACTGAGGGGAACTTAGAGGGACTGGGAGGGGATTGGGAGTACTGGGAGAGCAGTGGGAGCACTGGGTGGGACTGGGAGGGAATTGGGGACACTGGGAGAGACTGGGAAGGCACTGGGAAGGACTGGGAGGGCACTGGGAGGGCACTGGGAGCACTGGGAGCGACTGGGAGCACTGGGAGGGACTGGGGGAATGGGAGGACTGGGAGGGACTGGGAGGCACTGGGAGGCACTGGGAGGGCACTGGGAGGGACTGGGGGCACTGGGAGGGACTGGGAGGGACTGGGAGCACTGGGAGGGGACTTGGAAGCACTGGGAGGGCACTGGAGGGCACTGGGAGCACTGGGAGGGCACTGGGGGCACTGGGAAGGACTGGGAGGACTGGGAGGGAACGGGGGGGACTGGGATGTACTGGGAAGGCACTGGGAGGGACTGGGAGAACTGGGAGGGCACTGAGGGCACTGGGAGCACTGGGAGGAACTGGGAGAGACCAGGAGGGCACTGGGAGGAACTGGGAGGGACTGGAAGAGATTGGGAGTACTGGGAGGGCACTGAGGGCACTGGGAGCAGACTGGGAGGGACTAGGGGGCACTGGGAGGGCACTGGGAGGCACTGGGAGGGACTGGGAGGAACTGGGAGGGACTGGGAGGAACTGGGAGAGACTGGGAGGAACTGGGAGAGACTGGGAGGAACTGGGAGAACTGGAGGCACTGGGAGGGCACTGGGAGGGACTGGGGCACTGGGAGGACTGGGGGCACTGGGAAGGACTGGGGGCACTGGGAGGACTGGGGCACTGGGAGGACTGGGGGGCACTGGGAGGACTGGGGACACTGGGAGGGACTGGGGCACTGGGAGGGACTGGGGCACTGGGAGGACTGGGGCACTGGGAGGGACTGGGGGCACTGGGAAGGACTGGGGGCACTGGGAGGACTGGGGGCACTGGGAGGGACTGAGGGCACTGGGAGGGACTGGGGCACTGGGAGGGACTGGGGCACTGAAGACTGGGGGCACTGAGGGACTGGGGGCACTGGGAGGGACTGGGGGCACTGGGAAGGACTGGGGGCACTGGGAGGGACTGGGGGCACTGGGAGGGACTGGGGGGCACTGAGGAGGACTGGGACGCACTGGGAGCGACTGGGAGCACTGGGAGGGACTGGGAGGCACTGGGGGACTGGAGGGACTGGGAAGGCACTGGAGGGCACTGGGAGGACTCGAGGGACTGGGGGACTGGGAGGGACTGGGAGGATTGGGAGCACTGGGAGGGATTGGAAGTACTGGGAGCACTGAGGGCACTGGGGCACTGAAGGCACTGGGAGGGCACTGGGAAGGACTGGGAGCACTGGGAGGGACTGGAGACTGGGAGGACTGGAGGCACTGGGAGGGACTGGGAGACACTGGGAGGGCACTGGGGGCACTGGGAGCACTGGGAGGAACTGGGAGAGACTCAGAGGCACTGGGAGGCACTGGGAGGGCACTGGGAGAGATTGGGAAGTACTGGGAGGGCACTGAGGGCACTGGGAGCACTGGAAGGGCACTGGGAGCACTGGGAAGGACTGGGAGGACTGGGAGGGACTGGGAGGGACTGGGAGCACTGGGAGAGACTGGGAGGGCACTGGGAGGGACTGGGAGGACTGGGAGGGACTGGGAGAACTGGGAGAGACTGGGAGGGACTGGGAGGGACTGAGGGGACTGGGATGGTACTGGAAGGGACTGGGAGGGTCTAGGAGGGACTGGGAGAACTGGGAGGGCACTGGGAGGTACTGGGAGGGAGCTGGGGACACTGGGAAAGACTGGGAGGGCACTGAGACCACTGGGAGCAAGTGGGAGCACTGGGAGGGACTGGGAGCACTGGAAGGCACTGGGGATAACTGGGGGGAACTGGGACGATACTGGGAGGCACTGGGGGCTCTGGGAGGGACTGGGAGCAGTGGGAGGGCACTGGGATGGTACTGGGAGGGCAGTGGGATGGTACTGGGAGGCACTGGGAAGGACTGGGAACACTGGGAGGACTGAAACGTGGGCTGGGTCTCTTAAAAGGGCAATGGGGCTCTTAAAAGGGGTTTGGGAGGTCACAGGGGGACTGGGGGCACTGGGAGGGCACTGGGAGGGACTGCAGCACTGGGGGGGACTGGGAGGGACTGGGAGGGACTGGGAGGGCACTGAGGGCACTGGGAGCACTGGGAACAACTGGGAGCACTGGGAGGGACTGGGGGGACTGAGGGGAACTGGGAGGGACTGGGAGGGGATTGGGAGTACTGGGAGGGCATTGAGGGCACTGGGAGCACTGGGAAGGACTGGGAGGGCACTGAGGGCACTGGGAGAGAATGGGAAAGCACTGGGAGAGAATGGGAAGGCACTGGGGGGGCACTGGGAGGGCACTGGGACCACTGGGAGCAACTGGGAGTACTGGAAGGGACTGGGAGGCAGTGGGGGAAACTGGGAGAGACTGGAAGGGTACTGGGAGGGAGTGGGAGGCACTGGGGGTACTAGGAGCACTGAGATGGACTGGAAGGACTGGGAGGGACTGGGAGAGACTGGGAGGCACTGGGGGGAACTGGGATGACAGTGGGAGGGCACTGGGAGGGACTGGGAGGGTACTGGGGGGAATTGGGGGAACTGGGAGGGACTCAGAGAGGAAATGGTTCTCTTAAAAGGGCAATTTTTTTGTTTAAAAGGGCAACGGTTCTCTTAAAAGGGCAACGGTTCTCTTAAAAGGGCAACGGTTCTCTTAAAAGGGCAATGACTCTCTTAAAGGGGTAAATGGTTCTCTTAAAAGGGCGATGGTTTTCTTCAAAGGGCAATGGGTCTCTTAAAAGGGCAATGGTATCACACAAGGTGGCGGGACCCACCCAAAGGGTCACACCAGGCTTCGAGAGGGTCATGGGGGGCACAGGGAGGGACTGGGAGAAACTGGGAGCACTGGGATGGACTGGGATCACTGTGGGGAACTGGGACGGTACTGGGAAGGACTGAGGGGGACTGGGAGGTGGTCTCACAGGTCCAACAGTCCCATGGGGGTCTTTGGGCACAGAAGGCTGGGAAAGGGGGGGGGGCGCCCATCTGAGCTCCCAACTGACTGTGGGGTGCTGGGGCTGCTGGATCCAATCTCAGCCTTGGGTTATGCCAACACTTTCAGGTTAGAGGAATTACAGAGATGGGACTGAACCACTTTTGTCCCCCAGGTTTTAATCATGGCAAATCAGATCTATTGATAGAAATGAATTCTTTAGGGTTACAAATGATCAGACAAAAGATCTTCATCAGAATTATTTACTGCACAATAGAAACACTAAAACTACCACTAATACAGCATAAGATAGGACAGTGCTCTACCCTAAAGCAATTGTTGAAGCAATTCTACTCCAGCTGGCACCAAAGCAAGAATTATGAATTAGAGATGGATGGAACTCCCCCAGACCAACGCTCATGGGGAGATCTCTGCTCTCAACCTCCAGCACTGACCTTGGGGGGTCCCAGCCAAGGCAGGAATCTCCACACACCCCCCAAGAAGGGATCTGTTGGCACAACCTGCCCCTGGCAAAGGGGACTGGCCCTTTCTGGTGGAAAGGGATGGATTGACAGTCACTGGACTCCAGGGGTTGCCTTCCCATCAGGGGGCTCATTCGGGGTGGGAGCAGCGGCCGAAGCTCTTCCCGCAGTCGGGGCACTCGTAGGGGCTTCCCTTACTGGTGGGTCCGTTGGTGTCTGGTCAAGTGGGAGCTCTGGGTGAAGCTCTTCCCACACTCCCCACACTTGAAGGGCCTCTCCCCGGTGTGGATGCGCTGGTGCCTGATGAGGGTGGAGTTCAGGTTGAAGCCCTTCCCGCAGTCGGTGCAGCGGAAGGGCCTCTCCCCTGTGTGTGTCCGCTCATGCACGAGGAGAGTTGAGCTGCGCTGAAACCTCTTCCCACATTCCAAGCATTTGTAGGGCCGTTCCCCAGTGTGGCTGATCTGGTGGCTGCAGAGGTTGGAGCTGGTCCTGAAGCTCTTCCCACATTCCCTACACATGTAGGGCCGTTCCCCAGTGTGGATGCGCTGGTGTTGGATCAAATCGGAGCTGTCCCTAAAGCTCTTCCCACATTCCCTACACGTGTAGGGCCGTTCCCCAGTGTGGATGTGCTGGTGCCTGAGGAGGTGGGAGCTCTCCCTGAAACTCTTCCCACATTCCAAGCACCTGAAGGGCTTCTCCCGGCTGGGAGGCTGCTCAGGGACCACCAGCTCCGAGCTCCGGCTCAGGCTCCGGTCGCCTTCCCGGCACAGGACGGGTCTTTCCTCCTCAGAGCTCCCTGGGCTGGCTTTGCAGCCCCTCCTCCGGGGACATCTCCGGGCCTTTTCCTCCCCGCTGCCTTCCTGCGCCGGGGAGCCCTTCAAAACGGCCTCTCCCACCAGGCTCTGCCGGGGGGATTTGTCCTCCGTGCTCTCCGTCCTCAGCTCGGGGCCTGGGGCAGGAAGGAAGAAGGACAGGCAGGGGATTTGCCTCCAGCCCACAGGGAAGGCCAAGGACATCCCCCCCAAATCTGGTCCCCACAGGCACCACAAGACAGGGCCAAAGGGGCACTGACTTCCTCCTCACCTGCCTGAGGGGCCCGTGGCTTTTTCGTCTTCTTCGCAGCCTTCTCCTCCATCTGCCCAAGCTTTGGGAAGGACAAATCCTGCTGGGGGGAAACAAGGGCTGAGCGCGTTGCCTTGGGGGTTCCTCCTGCCCAAGTCCATCTCTGGAACTCACCCAGCATCCTGGGAGCATAAAAAACTCCAAAACACCAAAATTCAGCCCAGAAAAACCCAATCCGCTGACATTCAGGAAATAAACTGCCTCAAAAATAGCGAGTTTGACACCCCTCCATCACAATGGAAAAATTTAAGGTTCAGCCAAAATATGAAGATTCAGCCCAAAAATACTCTCCCAGGAGTTCCCCCTGTCTGGTCTCTCCCCTCTGGGGTTTGGAGGGTCTCCTCTCTCTGGAATGTTGGGGGTCCCACTTAGGGATGCTGGGAGTGTTGGGGGTCCCAAGGGTCCCTTCTCCTCTGACTCTCCTCTTCGGGGTGGTGCTTCCCAGACATTCCCCCTCTCCAGGTTCTCCACCTTGTTGTCCCAGGGATCCCCACTCTCCAGGTTTCCCCTTCTCTGCTCCCCCCATTTCAGGCTCCCGGGGGTCCCGGGGCTCCTCCCTCTCCGTGCTCCCCCCTCCAGCCTGCCGGGGGTCCCCCAGCTCCGGCATCGCCCGCTCCGCCCTCCACCCTCGGCAGCTCCCAGGGGGACCCCAAAACTGCTGTGTCTGCCCAGCCAGCCCCGGGCTGACAGTGGCCCTGACCCTGTCCCTGCTCCTCCCTGCAGGCTCCGTGGCCGGGCACACTTTGTGTTCCTGGGGGCCACCAGCTCAGCAGCTGCAGCCGCTCCAATCAGCGCCCGCAGCTCTGCAGCAAAGCCCCAGCTCACCTGGCACACAGGGCATGGACACAGCACCTTCTCGCTGCTGGGCACTCCCAGCTCAGCCTCTTCCCCAGCACGGGGCTCTCCTGCCTCAGCACCACCTCTGCCTTCCACTTCTTCTCAGGGCCACCTCAGGGACAGCTCTGGGCTCACCTCTGGGCCATTGCTCAGGGACACCTGGGTGGGAGAGGAGGGGCAGCACCACAAGCAGGTGAGTCCCGAGACCCCCCTGGTGTCCCCAATGTCCTCAGGGCCTCCCCATGGCCCCAATTCCCCCCTTGACGCCCCCATTCCACTGTCCTCAATCCCCATCCCAAATGTCTCCAACCCTCTATCACCCCCCAGGAGCCCCCTCTGGACCCTCTGACCCCAGACCAACCCCCATTCCCCCTTCACACTCACAGAAAATTCAACGACATGTGGAGAGACACTGGGGACACTTGGGGGGCTTTGGGGGGCACTGGGTGATTACTGGGGGATACTGGGACACACTGGGGGGAACCAGGGGGCACTGGGAGGGACTGGGGGTTATTGAGGGACTACCGGGACACACGGGGGGACACTGGGAGGTTACTGGGCCATACTGGGGGTTACTGGGTGCTCACTGGAGGATCATTGGGCCATAGTGGGGGGCAGTGGGAGGTCACTGGGAAACACTGGGTGGTCACTGAGGGGGGTTACTAGGCCATACTGAGAGCCACTGGGAGTTCAATGGGCTATACTGGGGGCACTGGGATCCCCTTACCCGCATGTGGTTCATGTCCTCCCAAGACTTTTGGTGGCACTGCCAGGACCCCTCCCCTGAGGGCTGGGAGACCCCTTGAACCCCACTGCTGGGCTTTAGGGGACCCCCGGGATCCCCTCCGTGTGGGGTCTGTGTGTGCTAAGTTTTGGGGGTCTCTGGGGTTCGGGGGGGGCATCAGGACCCGCTTTCCCTGCGGTCGGTCCGCCCAGCCCGCAGGGGGCGCTGCGGCAAGAGCGGCAATGGCGGTGCCGCGCAGGGACTTATGGGAGTTGAAGTTCGCTCGTGGAAATTCCGCCGGCGCCTGCGCAGTGCAGCCATGGCGTTTAAACCTCTCTCCTGAGGGGGTTCCATGGCCCCAGCCCTTTCAGGGACCCCCTAAACCCCTTCAGGCACCTTCACCCTCCCCTCTGAGCGCCCTCAGGACACCAAATCCCCTCCGCGACCCCCCGGGAGCCCCTCACGGACCTCAAAACCTCCTCGGGAACCCCCGAGCCCCTCCTCTCCACTCTGCCGAGCCCTCCAGCCTTCCCGCCCACAGCCGCGCTCCCCGCAGCCCCCGAGCGCATCCCCAGCCCCGCCGCAGCCCCCGCCAGGGCTCACAAAGTCGGAGCAGATCCAGCTGCCGCCGCCATCGCTTTCCCGGCAGCCACCGCGGGGCTGTGCGCGCGCACCGCCGGCAGAGACCCCGCCCCGCCCCCTTTTCCGCGCGGGGCACGCCGGGAGTTGTAGTTGCAGCGGCTCAAAGCTCCAAACTCCCCCAGACTCAATTCCCCACGGGCGTTCCTGGGGCAGAGCGGGGCAGAACCGGGGCGGGGACGGGACGGGCATTGGGTGGAAATCATTATAAAAACTGTAACCCCTGCGTTGTAAGGGATGGGTGTGGGTTTGTATTCCTGGAGCCTCCTGAAAACCTCTGCTGCTTCTCTGACCCCTACCTAGTTGGGCCTGGAGTCTTTTTCCTCTGCAGCCTTTTAGGCAGCAACGTTTATGGGGTTTATGAGGACATGACCTTTATGAGGAGAGCCTCTTATGAGGGGTATGGACTTTCTGAGGACAGCACCTTTATGACAGGTATGGGCTTTATGCAGAGAGATCTTTTATGATGAGAGCTCTGTCATGAGGTGTGTGGGGTGTATGAGGAGAGAGCTTTTATGACATTTATGGTGTTTATGAGGGCAGATCCTTTATGAGGTTTCTGGCATTTATGAGAACATCTCCTTTATGATGACAGCCCCATGAGGAGGTTTATGGGCCTTATGAGGACAGGGGCATTATGAAGCCTCCACTGTTATGAGGTGTTTGAGGGTTATGAGGACAGAACCTTTATGAGGCTGCCCCATTATGGGGTGGATGGGTTCTATGAGCACAGAGACCTTCTGAGACTGCCCCATTGTGAGGTGGATGGGGTTTATGAGGAGAGACACTCTAGGATGGCCCCTTTATGAGGTTTATGGGCTTTATGAGGAAAGCACCGTTATGACATCTAAGGGTGTTGTGAAGACAGAGCTTTCATGATGAGAGCTCTTTTATGAGGTGTTTGGGCTCTGTGAGGCCTGCACCATTGTGAGGTTTATGGGCTTTATGAGAGCAGTGTCTTTATGAGGCCTGCACTTTTATGAGGTGGGTGGGGTTTATGAGGGCAGAGCTTTTATGGCATTTATTGGGGTTTATGAGGACATGGCCTTTATCATGGGAGCCCCTGATGAGGTTTATGGGCTTCATGAGGACAGCACCATTATGACATGTATGGGCTTTATGCAGACAGAGCTTTTATGATGAAAGACCCATTATGAGGTTGTTGGACATTATGAGGACAGGGGCTTTATGGGGCCTGCACCACTATGAGGTGAAGGAGCTTTATGATGCTGGAGCCTTTAGGAGGTTGTGGCATTACTGAGGTCATCGGCTTTATGATGAGAGCCCCATGGTGAGAGGTATTGGCTTTGTGAGGCCAGTGCTTTGATGAGGCTGCACCATTCTGAGGCGTGTGGGGTGTGTGAGGAAATGGCCTTTATGATGAGAGCCCCATTATGAAGTGCATGGGCTTTATGAGTCCTGTTGCCTTGGAGTTTTGATTTTTTAGGTTTTGTAGATTTTAACAGTAGTTGTACAGGAATTGTAGCTTTTAACGGAGCTGCATTTTATCCTTTGCCCTTAACACAGTAGTTCCACAGAGCCAACCCTGTTCCCCAACTCCCATATCAATCCCCCTAAATTCCATTGGCCTGTTTGGTCTCATTTTCAAGGTAGAATTGTAGAGAACACCCTAAAAACTGTGCAAGGGTCCATCCGAGGGGCTGGAAGCCAGCAGGGTCCTGTCCTGAGGGAGACAGAACACCAGCAGAGCCCTCCCCATGCTGAGGGGGCCTTGTCATCAGGTGTCTGCTGGGGGGTTTTGTTCAATACTTGTTGATTCAAATCCAAAAAAACGAAGGGTAAACAGAGCTTTGTGTACTTGAGGTGTCACATTCCCCCCTTTTTGTTTTAAAAGTATTTGTTTGAAATACAGAGCACACATTTCTTACACCTGGGATAGGCACAAGTGATAACACCACATTTATGGTTTCTTTCTGTTTTGTTTCCACCCCTCCTTTTCTTTTTTTTCTTCCTTTTTCTTTCTTTTATTTCTTCTTTCCTCTTTTTTCCCTTTTTTCCTTTTTCCTTTAATTTTTTCTTTTTGGCTTTTTCCTTTTTTTTTTTTTTAATTTTTCTTTCCTTTTTTCCTGTTTTATTCAATTTTTCTTTTTTTGCCTTTGTCTTTTCTTTTTTTCCTTCATCTTTCTTTTTCTTTTCTCTTTTTTCCTTCATCTTTCTTTTCTCTTTTTTCCTTTTTTTTTAATTTCTTTTTCTTTTCTTTTTTTTCCTTTATCTGTCTTTTTTCTTTCTTTTTTTCCTTCATCTTTTTTTTTTTTACTTTCTTTTTCTTTTTTTCCATTTATCTTTCTTTTTCTTTCTTTTTTCCTTCATCTTTTTTTTCTTTTTTTTTTTTACTTTCTTTTTCTTTTCTTTTTCAATTTATCTTTCTTTTTCTTTATCTTTTTCCTTCATGCTTTTTTCTTTTCTTTACTTTCTTTTCTTTTCTTTTTCCATTTATCTTTCTTTTTCTTTCTTTTTTTCCTTCATCTTTTTTTTTTTTACTTTCTTTTTCTTTTCTTTTTCCATTTATCTTTCTTTTTCTTTCTTTTTTTCCTTCATCTTTTTTTTTCTTTTTTTTTTACTTTCTTTTTCTTTTCTTTTCCATTTATCTTTCTTTTCTTTCTTTTTTCTTCATCTTTTTTTCTTTTTTTCTTTTTTACTTTCTTTTTCTTTTCTTTTCCATTTATCTTTCTTTTTCTTTCTTTTTTCCTTCATCTTTTTTTTTCTTTTTTTTTTTACTTTCTTTTTCTTTTCTTTTTCCATTTATCTTTCTTTTTCTTTCTTTTTTCCTTCATCTTTTTCTTTTTTTTTTACTTTCTTTTTCTTTTCTTTTTCCATTTATCTTTCTTTTTCTTTCTTTTTTCCTTCATCTTTTTTTCTCTTTTTTTTTTACTTTCTTTTTCTTTTCTTTTCCTTTATCTGTCTTTTTCTTTCTTTTTTCCTTCATCTTTCTTTTCTCTTTTTTCTTTTTTTACTTTTTCTTTTCTTTTTTTTCCTTTACCTGTCTTTTTTCTTTCTTTTTTTCCTTCATCTTTTTTCTTTTTTTTCTTTTTTTACTTTCTTTTTCTTTTCTTTTTTCCTTTATCTTTCTTTTTCTTTTCTTTCTCTTTTCTTTTTGTTTCCTATATCTTTCTTTTTTCTTTCTTTTTTCTTCATCTTTTTTTTTTTTTTTTACTTTCTTTTTCTTTTCTTTTCCTTTATCTTTCTTTTTTCTTTCTTTTTTTCTTCTTTTTTTCCCTTTTTTTTTCTTTTTTTTCTTTTTTCTTTCTTTTTTCCTTCATCTTTTTTTCTTTTTTTTCTTTTTTTACTTTCTTTTTCTTTTTTTTTCCTTTGTCTTTCTTTTTCCTTTCTTTCTCTTTTCTTTTTGTTTCCTTTATCTTTCTTTTTCCTTTCTTTCTCTTTTCTTTTTGTTTCCTTTATCTTTCTTTTTCCTTTCTTTCTTTTTTTTTTCCTTTATCTTTCTTTTTCCTTTCTTTTTTTTTGTTTCCTTTATCTTTCTTTTTCCTTTCTTTCTCCTTTCTGTTTTTCCTTTATCTTTCTTTTTCCTTTCTTTCTCTTTCCTTTTTTTCCTTTATTTTTTCCTTTCATTTCTCTTTTCTTCTTGTTTCCTTTATCTTTCTTTTTCCTTTCTTTTTTTTGTTTCCTTTCTATTTCTTTTTCCTTTCTTTCTTTTTTCTGTTTGTTTCCTTTCTATTTCTTTTTCCTTTCTTTCTTTTTTTCCTTTCTATTTCTTTTTCCTTTCTTTCTTTTTTTTTGTTTCCTTTATCTTTCTTTTTCCTTTCTTTCTTTTTTTCCTTTATCTTTCTTTTTCCTTTCTTTCTTTTTTTTGTTTCCTTTATCTTTCTTTTTCCTTTCTTTCTTTTTT